CGGGGGCCGTGGAGTGTCCTCCATTTGGAGGCACAAAATATGGTAACCCTAGGTGGGGGAGATGTGGCATGTAACCCTGTGTGCCCCCCCCATACCTCGACTCTGGGGGGGTGCAATCCTGCCCCAAGTTGCACTCATGGTCCCCCCCCGTGCCCCGCTTCCCTTTGCTTCCCTGTTTTTTTTCTGCAGAGAAGCACAGGAATTCTGCGGTGGTGGCGGGCGCACAGTGATGCAGACTCCCCCCCAGGAGTATATTATGTTAAGAGATCATTTAGAAACATATATTCAGTTTTTCCATGCCCCTATCTCTTTAATTTCTTTCTATATAATATGAGTGATTTGGAGATATAAAACTAAAGTACACGTGTACCTTTCAGGCTAACTTCCCCTGAAGCACTTCCCAAGAGCAGATTCCTGGCACTGGGCTCTAAATTCCGTTATAGTGGACGGACGCAGGCCCAGACAAGACAAGCTAGTGCCTTGATTGACAGACCTGCTCCACAGTTTGAACGAACAGCAAGTAAACGGGCCTCTAGAAGCCTTGATGGAGGTGAGTGAAGTTTCATTACCTTATTGTAAGGTTTCCATACTTTTTTTTTTTCTATTGAAAGTTACCCTGCAGGCTTAGGCTTCATAACTTTTATTATTATTAACAATTTATTTTAGCTAAAGAAGAAAGCTGATGTAAAGAGCCTGAAACCAAGACAGTGCCTGGAATGTATTTCTAGACACTCAGTTGTTGTAAGGAAGTTGTTGTAAGGAAGTTCATTTTGTTAATTTTAGTTTATTAAAAAATAGTCAATTCTGATTCAAAATTTGTGGGCAGAAAATTGTAGAGAGAAATAAATTGGTTTGTTATAAAGCTCATAAATGACAGTGAGGTGACACTTCACAGAACTGTCAAGTAAGACCAAGCGAAAAAGAATGTTGTGAATTTAGGAATAGAGTCAGTCTTCAGGATTTAAAGTCTGTTGAAACAGATTGCTTTTTCATCTGAATATGAATTATTATATAAAGACTCCTTTTTTAGTTTTGAAAGTAATAACTCAAGTCTTGAGAAAATGCCATAAAACACTTCAGTAAAAAGTCTGTACCTGCTTGTCCTGTTGCCACCAAAAGCTAAAAGAAAAATAGTACATTTTAACTTTGATGTAGTTTTTGAAAACTACTACCACAGATCCAGCTTTGGAGCCCTATACTACATCTGGGATCCAAGTGGTGGTACTTGTTTTGTACTGCTAGTAAATTTTTAAACTTCATCAGCGGTGTTGGCATGACCGTTCATTTCAAACTCTATGGGCAAGAACCATAGGAGAAGGGCAGGTTCCACTTTTTACTAATCTTGTGCTTTAATATCAGACCTTGGAAAATAAAACCAGCAAATTAAAGCTTCTGTCTGAATTGAAGTCGGCAGCCTTCTCTATATGCTACATGAGTAGCTTGTTAACATGTGCACAATTTCTTCAGCTAAACATACGTCTCAAAAAATTGAGGTCAGACCTATATTGGAGGAGAAGCAGGAGGATGTGGTGATGGTTGAGATTCCAGAATCAAAACCTGTGGAACAGTTCGGAGAGAAGCCAGGTATAGCTGTGGTGGCTATGACTCTCTGCAGTGCTTTTTCTATCCTTTCCTTTTTTATGCTTGTACTTGTCTGCTCTGAAATGTTTCACAAATTTTGGCCTTTTTCTTCATTTCTTTGCAAGATGTCTCTTTATAGTCAGGCAGTCAACAGGCTGGGATGGGTTTATGTCCTTAAGTGTGGAGAAATGTTGGAATAGAATTGCTTGATTACACTTTTTAGACATGTATGCAGTGTAGTTGTGGCTGTGTCCGTCCCAGGAGATTAGAGAGACAAGGTGGGTGAGGTAATATCTTTTATTTGACAAACTTCTTTTGGTCAGAGAGACAAGCTTTCGAGCCACATAGAGCTTTTTTTCAGGTCTGGGAAAAGTACTCTGAGCATCACAGCTAAATGCAAGATGGAACATATTGTTTTCTAAGAGATCGTTCAAGGTAGAGAGGCTTGTTAATATCTCTGCAGTGATAGGGCAAAAAGAGGGGGTTAGTGGGATACAGATTGTTGTAAATAAATCCAGCAGACTTTTAGACAGAAACTCTGTGCTCAGATGGAGAGATTTTAAAGGTATAATTACATTTCGAATAAGACTATATTTTAAATTTGTGTACTTATAAATGCTAGGTTTCAGAGTAGCAGCTGTGTTAGTCTGTATCCGCAAAAAGAACAGGAGTACTTGTGGCACCTTAGAGACTAATTAACAAATTTATTAGTCTCTAAG